TGCCATTTGCACAGTTTTTAATTTTTTGCGTCCAAATTTTTACTGAATATTCTTGAGATGTAGTTTTATTATTATAATTTTATTTCAATACACTGGCACTAACCAGAGCGCCTAAAAAAATTCATAAAAACATGCCTTCTTTTGACCGAATTAACTATACCCCTCCCTTAAGACGCTACGGCCTTCTGATTGATCTGCGACTTCTTAAGACTGTACTTAAGATGGTCTTGAATATAACATCTGACTATGAATACCGCCCATAGTGTCTATTCACACACACATAGTGAATAATTTTAATTTAATTTATTCTTTCCAGTTTATCTTAAATAAAATCTCTGTATCTTTGTATCCCGCAAATCTCTGTATATACACATATATACAACACACACACACACACATCCACTTACATACTCTCGAGAGCATTACGTTAAACCGTCAGCAAGACGGAAAATGTACGATGCGCAATACGCATGAACACGTACGTATAATTAGCATTGGAAGATGATAAACGAATGACGATGCGGAAGTAAGACCATTAAGTATCTGCACGTATCATCCACTGTCCTATTGTCCATTTAAGTAATCACAATTTACATGTTTAGAGGTACGCCAGGAGGCAGTGCAGCAGGCTTTAGCGGCGATGCAGGGACGACCAAAGCCATCCTTACCAATGCCATCCAAGAGAACCTCCGTGATGGCCAGAAGTCCCGATCGAGAGAGATGCAATAGCGGCGAATCCAGTAGTGACGAGGATAGCGTTGTCACTGAGGAGAGTCCAAGCGCGGGTGGTCCAACCGGTAAAATTATTATTAGTCACATATAATGACAAAATAATAAAATAGAAGTAACGTTCTTGTTGCCCGTGATCTGATTCTATTCCAAATTAAATACATACAGAGGAAAATATAAATAAATTGAAAATTATTTTTATAAATATTTGTCGAACCTAATCACTAAATGCAACGGAATAAATAATCAGTGTGTCGCGTAATGTAGCTAATTTTATTCATCTGTCTTGAGGTGCATATATGTTAAAAGAAAAAAAAATAAATAAAACGCATTGTACAATATATGGTTCAAGCGTCATTTGATTCCGCTAAACATTAGCATCACGTGACCTTAACTATTTCTGCCGGATGATACGCCAATAATCAATACACATTATTTTTCTTTCATACGTACAAGTAGAAAAAGTGATTTAACTGCGCATTGAAATGTGAAGAAACCAGCATACACGTGATCATATGAAATAAATTCTCCAATAAAAACGTATACACTAATTATTATTAATCTTGATAGGTACCGGTCTTTCGGATACCAGTAGTACCGGTTCCGCTCGCGACACTCCACCTCCGCCCAGACCGCCAGCTAGGAGGCCGCCTGGCGCCGACATCACTGACATCACTGAATACACGCCACATGCCTATTGCAATATCCAACCACCGGACGTTACTCACGTGACGAGCAGTACCCCGATCGGTCAGCAGCAATCGGCAACGCGGCGACCTGGAGCCGATCGGGTGAACCGTTATGCGCACGTGGTCGAAGATCAAAATAGTACTGGTACCACAGGCCGCTGGAAAGTCTCTGCAAAGATTCAGCAATTATTAAACACGTTGAAACGGCCGAAGCGTCGGCCCCTGCCAGAGTTCTACGAGGACGACGATATCGAACTGGAGATCGCAGCGAATCCAAAGGATCCAAATGCTCCCAAACCCGAAGGTGGTTCCATGACATCGGCGGTAGGCGAAACGCTATCAGTGCCATCGGGGTTACCACGATCTCTCGAAGCTGCCATTCAGAGGTGAAGTATCAATAAGTCAATAACGTCGCATTTTGCGAACTGCGAGTGAAAATTTGTATATACTCACAAGGGACGTTTCACAACTATTTGGAACCAATTTGATTCTTCTTGAAATATGTTGTTAAAAACAAAAAATCTGAATTGATCCCCTTTCATTGATCCGTATAAATCCCATAGCAGATATAAAAACGCAAGGCAATAAGGTATAAGCAGTAAATGAAACTGTTAATCACCGTAGAGAACGTAAGATTATTGCCTTACATTCTCTATTGTGAGATTGTCCAATTTACTTACTGTTTACGTCTTACTGCCTTACATTTTTTAAATGTGTTTGTGTGTTTCTGGCTTAAGAAACATTTCTCACGTTTAGGTATGGCTCGGCGACATACAAGGCGCCTGTGGCTACCGTCCTGGATCCTAATGGCAAGCTTTGCGTAACACTTACATACGGTAAACTGTTCAGTCGTTCTCATAAGATTGCCTACACCCTTCTGAATAAGGCTTTAAGTCGCGGAGGAGATTGCTGTCTAAAACCTGGCGACAGAATCGCCCTGGTTTATCCGAACAACGATCCGATTAGCTTCATGTGCGCCTTTTATGGCTGTCTTCAAGCCGGTATCGTGCCAGTGCCCATTGAAGTACCTCTGACTCGTCGTGATGCAGGTTCTCAACAGATTGGATTTCTTTTAGGAAGCTGTGGAATTCAGGTAAACGAAGTACCATCTCTTATCTTATCCACCAAACAATATTTCTTTCTGTATTTACATGTTCAATTAGCCGTACATTCTTGCGATTTTTATCGCGATTTGCGTTAATGTATGTAATTGTGATAACTCACTCGAATTAGCATTGTCTATATATCTTGATTTTCAGGTGGCGTTGACTAGTGAAGCGTGTCTGAAGGGTCTGCCAAAGACGGCAGCTGGCGAAGTGATAGCCTTTAAAGGCTGGCCAAAACTACATTGGTTCGTTACTGAGCATCTTGGCAAGACGCCCAAAGATTGGCTACCGCCACCACGGCTTACCGATGACACGCCCGCATATATTGAATATACTACCGATAAAGACGGCTCCGTGATGGGTGTGACTATTACTAGGGCGGCAATGATGGCCCACTGTCGTGCTCTCACGCAGGCTTGCGGTTACACCGAAGGCGAGAATGCTGTCTGCGTGCTTGACTTTAAGCGGGAAGTCGGCCTCTGGCACAGTACTTTAACCAGTGTACTAAATGGCATGCATGTCATTTTCATCCCTTATGCCCTGATGAAGGTTAATCCTGCTAGCTGGATGCAAATGATCACGAAGCATCGTGCCAGCGTCGCGGTCGTAAAATCGCGAGATCTTCACTGGGGTCTGTTAGCAACTAAGGATCACAAGGATGTCTCTCTGGCGTCATTGCGGTTACTACTCGTTGCAGATGGCGCGAATCCCTGGTCTCTCTCGTCCTGCGATCAATTTCTCTCAGTGTTCCAATCAAAAGGACTCAGACCAGATGCTGTCTGTCCTTGCGCTTCCTCAAGCGAGGCTCTCACAGTATCCGTACGAAGGCCAGGACGCGCAGGAGTAAATGCGACTGGTCGTGGAGTTCTCTCTATGTCCGGTCTAAGTTACGGAGTTGTTAGAGTAGATCAGGAGAATTCTCTTACATCATTAACACTACAAGATTGCGGACAAGTCATGCCTGGAAGTGAGTCTCTTTGTAAATTGATTGTTTTTTTTTACATTATGACGTATCTTAATGACAATGTATATTTATATTTTTTACAGGTGTAGTAGTCGTTATTAAGATGGAAGGACAGCCATTTATTTGTAAGACGGATGAAGTAGGTGAAATTTGCGTGCATAGTGCAGCGACTGGTACCCAATATTGGGGCTTGCAAGGGCTTACCAACAATACCTTCAAGATATTGCCCTTACAAGTCGACGGCACTACCTTGAGTGATGTAGAATACACGCGTTCCGGTTTGCTGGGTTTTCTTGGTCCTGGAGGACTTGTGTTTGTCTGCGGATCACGGGACGGTCTCATGACGGTGACTGGCAGGAAACACAATGCCGACGACATTATTGCCACTGTGCTAGCGGTCGAACCAATGAAATTTATATATCGCGGTAGAATCGCCGTTTTCAGTGTGAGAGTCCTTAGGGACGAAAGGATATGCGTCGTAGCCGAACAACGGCCTGATTGCAGTGAGGAAGAGGTACATTCTAGAATTAAATATTATTTAAATAAGAAGATGACGGAATTTTTATTTGAAGAAGAAAGAATATGTATTTGTCAGAAACCGACTTGAGCACCTTTAAAATATTTCTTATTATATAATACAATTAACGAGGCACTTAGGAGTCAACGGTAGAACGAATATTGCGCAAGAAACTTAGTATACAATTGTGTCAATCAATTGAATTCATTATAAATTTCGGCTCCGATTTGAGCCACCTTCATCAAAATTCTTAACGTTGCTGAAACAATGTTGAAAAATAAATCTTAGTTTAAGTGTTTTATATGCAATTGTGGTGGCGACGTAGTGAAATACGATCTTCCTTCACATTATCCAATGTTATGCACAGCTGTTCCATGGCTGAGTGGATTGCCCATCTCAGAACGCGTTATTAAGAGAAAAAATTGTAACGTGTTAGGAAATGGATGGAAATTCAAAATTCGTATAAAAGCGATATTCACCTCATAGCCAACAACAATTATATACTGTATAGGAACACGTCGAGTAGAAAGATGCAGGAAAAGATAATAAATAATTAACTATTGTCATATGTTAAAATTATAAATAATTTAAGAGAATCAAAAACTGTCGTGCATACCCTAAGTGCCTCGTTAATTTATTGATTATTATTGTATTATATTAATTAAAGGAGTCTCTAAGTTATTTACAACTATTAATTCTATTGTTAGTTTTAATTTCTCATCATTTTATATAGAGCTTCCAATGGATGTCTCGAGTATTACAAGCGGTGGACTCGATCCATGCAGTAGGAATATATTGTCTTGCCTTGGTACCACCTAATTATTTACCCAAAACGCCATTAGGTGGCATCCACCTGTCGGAAACGAAACGCCGCTTCCTCGAGGGTACTCTCCATCCAGCTAATGTGCTCCTCTGCCCTCACACATGTGTCACTAATTTGCCAAAACCGCGCGAAATCCATTCAGGTAAGTGAAGCAAAATCTATCGGCTGATATTGCATTGATATTTTTTTGATAAGACTGACAGATATCGATGTGTAAACCTAAATTAGAAAAATCATGCAAACGTTTCTTAAAAATGCCAGAGGTTTTTTTATATATGGACAAAATAGAACTTTATAAAGAATATAGATATTATTAACGTAAGATATATGTGTAAAGAAAGTAAATAAATTATATTTAATTTTAAAAAATCAAATAATAAGTTGATATTTAGTATTAAATCTCTTGATGTAGATACTAGTCAGAATAATCTGATTTTTGAAAATTATATTATGTATGTGAATTGTCGAAAGTGATGAAGAAAGCGAAGAGAAGATAAATAAAAAAAGAGAAAATATACGTATATTTGTGAAAGTGAAGAAAAAGGAGTAACAAGAAATAGTAAAAAATGTATTGATAATTACGAATTTTACTTTTTTTTAGAATTCTTTGTATATATCACGACAAGAGATTTCATATATATATATACACATATGTATATCTATATGAAATTCTTGGTAGACTTCAAGAATCTGGCACACACTTACATAGTGTAATGTGTTTATTTATATATATGGATGTTTCAAAGTATATGTGTTGTAAGAATCACAATAGAATTTGTCTATTTATCTTTTTATAACATTTCTTTAAGGGTCAGCAAGAGTCACTGTGGAGATTTCTATCGGAAACGAATTTTTATTGTCCAAAATTACAACTAAAATATTACGAAAATCGCAATGTAATTGCGATATTCGTAATCAAGAGAATTATGCTTGCATCTAAAGAGTGATTTTTTGAAAAAAAAAATATTGGGGAAAAAAATGGAAATTCTTTTTAATATCTCACCCAATTTACATCATAATGTAGTTGGAGTGCAGATAAGCTTATTTATTATTATGTTTTAAAAACCAAATTGTAAAATCTAGTTTTTTAGCAGACTTCGCAATTTTATAAAGCCAAAAAAGGTCTTATGACAAAACATTGCTTCTACGAAACAAAATATAGTTCAACTTGATTATATCTATACCGTAAGAGTAAAATGCAGATCATTTTATTTATTGTAATATTTTTAAGAGTAAAATTGTAAAATCCGTCTCTTCAGGCTTCATAGCTTCGTAAAACATGAGCCAAAAAGTTTTATTGTGAAATATTTTTTCTACGAGAATATGGTAGAGTGCTGATATGTATCTACACTCATTACAAATGAGGTGTAAATAAATTAGCTCATCACTCCTGTCGACTCTTAATCAAATTAATATTTGTATTAATTAAATATTGGCTAAATATATCTCACAAGAGTGAATTTTTTAATGATTATATACAAATGTACATCTTTTTGAGATATGGAATACATAATAATATTGTTATATCTTCTTGGGAAATTACTTTGAATTCATTTAAGTATTCCAAAATATAGAACACAAAGTTACATATTTTGTTTTATTAAGAATCCTTATAGTTAATTATGTATGCTTAGCATGTCATTCTATTTAGTTAGCTTTCTTTCTTTTGGCTGAGTTCTGAATACCTCTTATTGTTAGTATCTTAATTAAGTGCAAATATAATTGATTTCAACGATTAACAAGAGGTTCTGCTTTTTGCTGAACTGTTTTATCGCTGGAAACATCATATTTTTTACTTTCTTGTATTCAGTGTTTTTCTGTATTTTTTTTAATTTTACGTCGATATTTTGTGTATAACGTAATCAATCTCGGATCTGTGTACAATTAGTTTGGACTGTTTGATTCGATTAAAAGAAAGATATTTGAAAATTCAAGCATCCATGGATCCAAAGATTCGTGAATGCATGTTAAATCATAGACCTGTGAAGCAGAAGAACGCTCGTATTGTTGGCTCCGATGGTGAAAATCAGATTGCTCTAGCTTTGATTTTTCCGGCCTCAGTCAGGGGAGAGTATGTGAGCTACTCATTATTGGGTTGAGTGTTTGTGTTGGTTTACTAACGGAATGGTGCGGGGGCGTGTAGCGGGGGATTCTGTTGCAGATGTTGGACCGGCCAGTGTCATGGTAGGAAATATTGTCCAAGGCAACCGATTGGCTTCTGCCCAGGGACGAGATATGGGTGTCCTAGACGAAGATAGTGATAATGCTAAAAAGGTTCATAAGTTCAATGAAACTTAATAAAAGCCCATATACGTAGACAGAAAAAGTGACTTCAATATTAAATTATTATATTATTATTCATCTTTTAGTACCAATTTATTTCCGAAATTCTACGGTGGCGCGCTGTCAGTACTTCAGATCATGTGATATTTACGTCGTTAAACGCGAAGGGCACCGTGGCTACCTCATTGTCCTGCTCGCAGTTGCATAAGAAAGCTGAGAGGATTGGGAATCTACTCTTGGATCGAGGGAGGATTAACACTGGAGACCATGTAGCACTTATTTTCCCACCTGGTACTGATCTAATATGCGCGTTTTATGGCTGTTTATATGTTGGCGCTGTGCCGGTAACCATCAGGCCACCTCATCCTCAAAATCTTCAAACGACCTTGCCGACTGTTCGCATGATCGTGGACGTCAGTAAATCTGTCCTCGTATTGACTAACCAGAACCTACTCAAATTATTGAAGACAAAGGTAATTAAAAATGTTCGATTGTAATATCCATTAGAATGTGACGAAGGTACACATTTTGATTGATCGATGTTGTTGCTATGCTTAGGAAGCAAACAACGTGGTTGATGTGAAGAGTTGGCCAATGATCTTAGATATGGACGACATGCCAAAGAAGAAGCTACCGGTAATGTATCGAGCACCCACCGCGGAGATGCTGGCCTATCTCGACTTCAGTGTTTCGACAACGGGCATGCTCGCTGGCATCAAAATGTCTCATGCAGCAGTTACTTCGTTGTGCCGTGCCATGAAGCTAGCGTGTGAACTCTATCCTTCCAGACATATCGCTCTCTGTCTGGATCCATACTCGGGCCTTGGTTTTGCCTTATGGTGTCTCAGCAGTATATACAGTGGACATCATTCTATACTTATACCACCATCGGAGGCGAGTACAATTCTTATGCTCATTAAAAAAATTCAACAATAATAAATAAAAATCAAGAATGAAGATATTTAATTTATAGATATTTAATTATCATTTTGTTATCATTGCCAGGTGGAAGCCAACCCTGCACTCTGGTTGTCGGCAGTCAGTCAATCTAGAGTAAGAGATACTTTCTGCTCGTACGGTGTTATGGAGCTGTGCACGAAAGGACTCGGTTCCTCGGTACACACGCTCAAGGCGCGAGGCGTCAGTCTGGCATGTGTTAGAACATGTGTCGTCGTCGCCGAGGAGAGACCACGGATCGCGTTAACAACGAGTTTTAGTAAGCTATTCTCCGCACTCGGTCTGAGTCCCCGCGCGGTCTCTACCTCATTTGGCTGTAGAGTAAACACTGCCATTTGCTTACAGGTAAAATTGATTGTCGAGATTAAGCATTTATATGGATCCCGAAGACTTATTTTTATATATTATTACTTTCTTGATTCTGTTTTTTATCAGGGAGCGTCCAGTCCGGAGCCCTCGACAGTCTATGTAGACCTTCGTGCATTGCGTAATGACCGAGTGTCTTTGGTGGAACGAGGCAGTCCACATTCTCTGTGCTTGATGGAATCGGGCAAATTACTGCCTGGGGTAAAAGTAATCATCGCGAATCCTGAAACCAAAGGTCAATGTGGTGACTCGCATCTAGGCGAAATCTGGGTACAGTCATCACACAATGCGAGCGGTTATTTCACAATCTATGGTGATGAGAGCGATTACGCTGATCATTTTAACGCGCGACTAGTTACTGGCAATACGAGCGAAGTCTATGCACGGACTGGCTACCTTGGTTTCTTGAGAAGGACCGAGAGCATCCAGCAGTCAGTGATTAGCGACGTACCCGGTGATACTAATGTGCCCGAGGCTGATCTCATTCCAAGCGATCCGGAACTTCATGATGCCGTATTCGTCGTTGGCGCTCTCGACGAGGCCATCTTACTACGAGGTATGCGCTATCATCCAATAGACATCGAAAACAGTGTCATGCGGTGTCACAAGAAAATCGCAGAATGGTAAGTTCTTTTGAAGTCTACGCAATTTAAATATTTCTTAATCTTTTGATAATATGTAATACTAGCCATATACTGTTACGAATCTATATTCTCTTATTCTTAATTTTTATATTGGCGATTCGCTACTAATCTGTTATATTATCGTTTTTTTTTTTTTCAGCGCTGTGTTCACATGGACCAATCTGCTAGTGGTAGTGGTAGAATTGGACGGTAGTGAAAGCGAAGCCCTCGATCTTGTAGCTCTGGTGACGAGTGCTGTGCTCGAAGAACACCATTTGGTAGTTGGCGTAGTAGTTGTAGTGGACCCCGGTGTGGTACCCATTAATTCGCGCGGTGAGAAGCAACGGATGCATTTGCGTGATGGCTTTCTCGCGGACCAGCTCGATCCTATCTACGTGGCGTATAATATGTAAATGGGTGTGCGAGAAAATGTTCTCACCTTCTATGTATTCCGCCCTCCTTTCCGCCGACAATTCTTATCCGATATATATTGAGGCTGCAGTGGAACTTCATTCACGAGGATGATTTGCTCCAATAATGCTGGAACGAGCAACTTTAGCAAGAATTTTAATTCTCATTTGCTTTATTTGATAACTCTAATTTACAAAAAGTTTCTCTTTTATTATTTTGAACTAGTCAAGATGTTTCTTATAGATTTTTGGGTGCTGAAAATAATGCCACAAACCAAAAGATTCCACACGCTTATTTTGGAAAAATGACTCGATATAATTATTCTATTTTGAGATATGTTGTAGCTTTTATAATTCTGAATAAATATATTTATTGGCACACTTATATAAAATCAAGAGATAAAGAAATATAGAACTCGTGAACATAGAATCTGAGTGTCTGCCATATCTCTTTGAGATTTGATGTTTTCTTTTATATATAATTTAGATTACATATATACGTATATCTTCCTGATTGTTGAGTGCTGCGCACATACATTTATGTAGAGTATTTTTATTCGTGTGTGATTTTATAAATTGGATGTATTCATGAAGTCTGATACTTTTGTATATTTGTATAGAGTTGAGCCTAATTTCCAAACGTCAAAAAACATATAAATTATCATAGGAGTCAACTTGCGAAAAATATTGGTGGGGGGGGGAAGGGCACCGAGAAATATTGAGGGAGAACACAATATCCATTTTTTGCGGTGCTCCTGATAAAAATAATTCGCTGAAATAACTAAAATCTATCATATTAATGGAGATTTTAACGATTTCAACGATTTATTTCCATCAATGCATCGTAAAGAAGCGGATTGTTGTGTAGTTGACATCTACTTCTTCAGAGGGCTGTAGTGCACAAAATATTTTACAGGAAAAAGGCTTTCACATGTCCTTTCTCAGATTTCTCTCTGATATATATATATATACACACACACACAGAGATACTAGGGGTTCCTTCCAAGGAGCATGTTTGGATTCCCTGGGTACTCCTCGGATGTCATGTCATCCTTGTTGTTTAACAAACATTAATTACACTAGTTTACAGTAAAAAATTACTTTGGACCAGACTACGTGTTTTTTTATAGATTTTTGGATGCTGAAAATAATACCGCAAACGAAAAAATTCTAGCACGTCGGATTTTCAAGATAATTGAGGTTTAATACTTAAAAAATAGCTTTTTTTTGCGATATTTGACATTTTTTAATAAAGAAGGTTAACGTTATCTTGAAATTTCGATCAGGAATCATGAATGTATTGTGCATCCCCTATAAAATGCATTTTTTTTTTTATTTCAATACCTTACTTTTTAGCCATGTTATGAACGAATAAAGACAGGAGCTATTTTGAATATGGACTCCGGCAGCGTTAAATGTGTATGCGTATTAATTTCTTTAAGGTCTCATTTTGATAACTGTACCTTAATACTTTTATGCATAGAATTCTGAGATTAATCCACTGGTGTAATAAAAATACATCGTTGCTTAAAAAAAAAGAATGCAATTAGTAATATGCAACCACATATCTTTCATAAAACAACTCTTTCTCCTCTCCCCTTTTTCTCTCCCCCCCCCCCCCCCCTTTCTCACTCTCTCTCCATATGTGTGTATGCGCGTTGTTGTTTTAAAATGATTTTAGCGTTACCGCATGCGCATATGACGTTGTCACGGTCCTCATATTCGAAATAGCTCTTATCTTTAATCGTTCATAACATGGCTAAAAAGTAAAGTATTGAATTTAAAATAAGATGCATTTTATAGGGTATGAACAATACATTCATGACTTCTGATCGAAATTTCAAGATAACGTTAACCTTCTTTATTAAAAAATGTCAAATATCGCAAAAAAAAGCCATTTTTTAAGTATTAAACCTCAATTATCTTGGAAATCTGACGTGCTAGAATTTTTTCGTTTGCGGCATAGTTTTCAGCATTTAAAAATCTATAAGAGACACGTAGTCCGGTCCAAAGTAATTGAAAAAAAAATTTTTTTGTAAACTAGTATTATTTATAACAAGTTTTCAAAATGCTCTCCATTTTTATATAACGTGACTCGATCAGTTATATCGTTTTGTACTTCGCTATAGCATATATCTCTTCAATTACAGTTGCGAAAGTAGAATGTAATTGGGCTATTATTTCTTCTTCAGTTTCTACCGGATTCTTATCTGTAGATAAAAAGATGCTACAGCGAAATACAAACGACATAATTGGTTAAGCCGTTATATGCATTCAACAGAATGGAAAATATCTTGAAAACTTGTTATAAATAATAATGTTTTAAAAAATGATTTATTAATTAATTATTTCGGATTAAACAAAGGAGCGAGACAAAAAATAACCAATTTTGATCGTGAATGGATACCTTTAAAACCTATGCAGTTATCAAGCGATTAGTTCTTACTTATAGATCCATAAATAAAAACCAATCGCTCAATGAGTAAGCTGCATTCCATCAAAAAGAAAATGTTGCAACCTTTTTTAGGCCCAGAGTGTACATGTTTCAAAAAATATATATATGTACTGAAAAGTATCAGACTTTATGAACATATTCAGGGTGTTTACTAATGTCTTGTAAAAAAAACTCTTTCGGAATTCCCGGATTTTCCAGGGCTGCGGTCCGATTCACGCCCACAGCGCTCACAGTTCTCACAATATTAATGATCAGTCCGATTCATTCGAGACCCATAACCTGTGTATCACACTTGTCAATAATGGATATATATGGATCATATTGTCAAACGGCATGCAAATATCTGCCATTTCGGAAAGAATTGATAAAAACGCTCGATGTATAAATTTTCGTTGCCAAATCAATGCAGTGTGATGAGTCCGACGATAATCAACGATGTTATAACCTCGATCCAATCATATTTAATTATTAAAACAATATTAACTATTATTATCAATTACATTTAATTATTTTTAGTAAGCGATTATACTACATGAATGCATCTATTCCACATTCACAATTCATATTAGGTAGTCCTCTTTTTTCCGCGTAAATAAAGTGGATGCTCACGCCGACCCATCTCCGGATCACCGTGAGCATGTGTGAATTAAAAAATCCATGACGTGGATCACTTTGCTCACGCAAAACGTTCAGGGAGTGAATCGGATCGACCGTGAGCGCGTTGATAGCGCTGTAAGCGTGAATCGGACCGCGGCCCAGGTATTTTTGTTCAAAATTAAAAATGAGTTTAGAAAATCTTTTAATGCAATTTTTTGATGAAAATTATTGAAACCAATATTTGGCAATTAATAATTGATCCTTGTTGACTATTGAAAATTTCAAAATGGTAGAAGACTCTTTTCGACTCAGTTTAGTCCACTCTATCAGCGCACGAAATATTTGGCGATTTCATTCTGGGATATCCTGTATGTGTATATGAATTTACAATAGGCGATAAATTTATTGTCTTAGAAAAATCTTATATTTAAAGTTTTCATAACATGGAAAAAAGTAAAATATTAAAAATAAAAAATGCATTTTATAGAGCATGATCAATATATTCATGATTTCTGATTAAAATTTTATAATTTTTTTTACAAAGTAAATATTGCGAAAAGTCATTTTTTTTATATTAAACGTCAATTTCTAGAACCTAATTGGAGATTTGGCTTGCAGCATCCAATCTTCTTCTTCTTAGCTGTTAATTGACTCCATCTCTGTCATCGGAGTCATCTACGAAATGCTATTAAAGATCGTCTATCTTGGATAAATTTTCGTCATTCACTAAAAAGAGAGGTTCCAAAGGCCTGGAGGTAATTGAAGAGCGTTGACATTATCGACAATTGATATAAATATGTGATTATTAACATAAATATTTAACTAATAATACGTTGTTAAATTCGTGATTTTTTATTATTATATAAATGCTTCATAAATAAGTATGCATATACTTATAATGTTATAATTTATAATCTCATATACGGAATAAAGCAAAAGTATCGGAACCCCTAAATATCCTGGAAAATATAAATTTTATAAGTGTTTCAGATAAAAGTTATAGGATTTAAAAAGATCTTTTTACTGATCTTATCAGTTCGCGGTATAAGCCTTTCAAACAACATTATTGTGTTTTTATTTGAATCACGTTTTTCTTTGTTCTTGTTTATCAGTTTGACTTTGGATGCTGTCGCCAAGATCAAGGTCAAACTGATAAGATCAATAAAAAGATCTTTTTAAATCCTACAACTTTTATCTGAAACATATATTTTCCGAGATATTCAGGGTTTCGATACTTTTGCCTCATCCTGTATATTGCCGCAAAATTACAATTTTTTCTCTACAATTATTATCTCCATTAATAAACTCAGATAACATTAAAATTGCAGTTTTAAATAAAAATCGAGTATTATTGAGTACTGAGGCTAGACTCTTACGAGGTGTATGTATCGCGTAACCGCATAATTCATCAGAAGCGATCTGTTGTTGTAATTTCGCGTTTTACTGATTATTAATTAGTTATGCGCTTACGCGATACGCGACAAATATGCCTCATAGGATTCCACCCTGAATGTACATATAAAACATGTCTATGAAACATCAGGATACTAATAAATCATAAAATTAGTATTATCAATTTGTTCTATTCTTATTATAAACTTTCAAACCATAATACAAAAAAGAATTTGCTATATTATTAGGCTATCAAAAAAATGCACATTTAGAAAAATAAGAATAAATGTTTTTTAATGGCCTCAAAAAATTATTCTTAAATTACTTTGATTAAAAAATGTCACATTTGATTACTATTCTAACATGTCTGAAAAGTTATTTTTTGTTACATTCTTTTATATAAAAAAACAATCATTTCACTTTTTTGGTGAACGACTGAATGAGCAAAGACACTATTTTAAATCTGGAATTTAGATTGATCATATTTATAATTCCGTATATTTAACTTTTATAGATCCTTTTTCACAAATTCTTACTCTAAGGGATATATATATTCGTTTTAATCAGTTATTTGCGCACAAGATTCGTTATTGGCATAGAAATGAGCGAAAGATTAAAGTAAAACGTAAATAAAAATATCGTGATAGATGGAGTTCTACTGTATGCATTAAGGAATGTTAATGCATTCCAGCAAGTATTACTGGCAAAAAGTATGTATATACAAAGTTCAAACATTTTTTAAATCCGACTGCCAAAAATCTTTGGAACTGGTTAGATCAGTATTACACACACACACACACGCACGCACACACGCACATACACACATTATGTATATTATTTGAAAAATAATCGATGATAAATCATACAATCAATGATTAATAGAATTAGTAAATAAAATTTCACCGCTCACTATAATGCTCCAGTATCTAACAAAATTTTATCAAGAAATATGAATATTGCATTTTTCAATTATCGACAGTTTTGCGATCCATTTCTATAATGTTAAACTCGCATAACGATCGAATTTAATTTCGACATTCGGTATTTGCGAAATGAAAGATATATAACAATTTTAGCGTATTAGGCGACGCACACAAAATCGGAGTTTTGTACATTTTGACAAAGTCTTTTTATATCATAATATGCGCAAACATATTTGTATTTGAGATACTTTTACATTAATTTATAATTTTGCTGCGAGAAACAGCCCCTCCTCTCGTTGACGGGAGCAACGAAAGATTTTGTCACGAAGACGATTTGACAATATTCGTTAACAATATTCTTTTTTATTATTGTTAGCCGTACCTATTTTTATGATTAAGTAGCAGTAAATTTGATAATTATTCGGAATTTAATCAGTCGGGTATATTCTCTCAATTTCATTTGCGCGCACAAATGAATATAATTATAGGACTAGTTCAAGCTGATATATAAGAATATAAATACCTTGCATATTATCACTTTAGGACTGTCATTTGTTTTTTTTTTTAATCATTTATACTCTTATTAGAGAATCGGAAATGTTAATCTGACAGCATGGCCTATATTTAGACATAAAAATAAGATTAGAAACGATTTTGGTCTAATCTTTGATCTAAAAAAAGAAGCATAAAAATCCAATAAAAAATTCAATGATTTAAAACAAGAAAAATTTGATATTAACATTTCTTACAAAATATATTTGAACAATCTTATATATGCAGACTGGTCGAGTTTTAAAGAGCTGCACACCATCAGGAACACGAAACAGGGAACAGAATAAGAATTCCAATCCATCTAAAACTATTCTACAGTACGTAGTTTCTGATAAGTTGAAATCTTTATTCTCTCTTCCCTGTGTCCTGTATCTTTGATTGTGCGCAGCTCCTAAAACAAGACTAATGGAAAGGAGATATTTCTCTTATTTTTTTTTATGAACTTTTTATTTGAATGTTATTTGTAAAAGTAAAACATCAAGCCCAGAAGTCGATCACAATTAATTTTTCTTACTTAACTTTCTTCACTTATTTTCTTATCTTTTTTACGAATATGTACATACGGGAACACAAATGCCTTAACATGCTTTTTCATGCCTTCTCATTCCTTCTCATGTCTTCTCCGATACGCGTGCAACTTTGGATATTTAGACATTTGTGTCCCCATGCGTACAATTGTTGGCAATCCTTTAATCTAATGTATTTTTAAATATATGACGATATACGTATATGCTATGTACATCATACAACGCCTATCATTGTGATTATTGAGAGATGTCATGATTACAATAATCATATGTGTATTTGTTGCGCGTGGAAGATTGTCATATTGCGAATATTGCTTTATTGGAGAAACACTTTTTATTATCGTTACCATTTCTTTATATAAATATTCATGTTTTTTTATTAATAATTGTGTTTATTGTATTTCTTCTTGTCAATCCTTGACAGAATTTAAATTAAAACTGCATAATACCGACGATCGATTTCATTGACTTTGACATGTAATGTCAAGGTTTTGACTCTGAGTGAAGGCTCAAAAGTTTTAGCCGTCACGCGTTTTTGTTAAAAAGTTATTAACAAAAGAATTTAAAGATGTATTTAATCCGCTTACCCCGTTTTGCATGGAAAGTTTTATTTGAATCCATGTAAAATTTCGTTTTGTGTTGTAAAATATTTACAATGGCATAAATTAGCAATGCCCATTATTGGGGGCATTGGGATCCGGGCACGTCGCGTTTCGTTTGGTTCGGCTTGGCTTAGCGAGCGAAACAGCGAGAGAATCTGTCCTCGCTTTCAGCAGCGAGAGAACCCGTTCTTCTCGCTCTGATCGCTATATCGAAACAAAACAGATATAAGTAAAATATCTTTATTACAATTTGTTATTTATTTATTATTCATAAGTCAATATTCATAATCCGATCTTATATATTCAACGTCATCTTAAATATGTCTCAAAATAGAATGAAAGGTCATAAGGCGAACGTCTGTGCGAGATAAACTTTACGTTATTTAAATATAAGATCAGTCTATGAATATCGATTATAATTTTATAAAAATTCACTCTTGTTAATAAAATAGCGCCCGTGACTCACAAAAGTGATCCACCTCCAACGTTCTAAATTTTGTTAAATTTTGAATATGTATAATACACCCCTTTTATCAATTAACAGTAAAAATCGTGTCACTGAATAATAGTTCACGAGACATTAATTAAAATTTTCCGTGTGGGTTATATATACCGGATTTGTAACGTGAAACGCAACTAATCGGTGTAGCTGAGCAAGTAAAGCGCGCGGATAATACGCTGGACATCCCATGCGCGAATCTTACTCTTTTTCCTTTATTTTCATAATATGTTTTTCTGAAAAGACTAATCGAATTAATTACCAGTGATCGAGTAGGACAAACAATATATTCTTATATATTATTGCTATTATTCATGTACTCTTAAACCAACGATTGTAGGAAAAATAATGATTCGCCATTTGCAAAGTTAAGAAGTAACGCATTACTTATAATGTTGTTAATGTTTTCGTTACTTTTTTTGGTAACAATCATTACTTTTTTCTATCTGTAACGGTAACGATATCGATTCAGTCGTTACTTTAATCGTTACTACAGTTTTTATTGAATGTTTTAGATTGGATATTTTGACATTGCTACCGCTGAAAGATGTTTTGCTTTAGTGTCCCTATAGAAGTGTACTTCTAATTACCCAAGTGTATCGTTGTTATAACAAATGAGCGAAATACTTAAATTTTTTTTAATGCTTGTGATTTTTTCCAAGTATGGAAATATGTATATATAATTTAACATTGTTTAATAAAAGGTTATATGCAATAAATATAACTATAAAATGTTTATTTTCTCATTTTTATTTCTTAAAAAATTTCTCGCGCTCTCTCTCTCTCTCAATTAATAAAAGCAGCGATGTAAGCATGTACTGTTCAAGGGAATTCAGCATAAAATTTATTTAAATATCCCAAGATATATATGATACAAAAGAATCACATTAATGAATTATTTGGCTGAATTTGTTTCGAAAAAAGATTTAATTTTAATTGATTTCTGACATGCCTAGTGTACAAATAATTTCTTTCCAACCCTATTAGAAATTTGTAATATTGTTAACAAGTTTTTTGAAAATATAAGTCAGCTGTTAGTGCAATTGGCGCTTAAATAACAATATAAATTTTTAATCGAATTAAATGAAATAATCACAAATTTTTGCATGTACTAAGTGATAAAAATAGAATGTTTACAGCGCATATAAGGAACGGTAAAGATAGAAGGCTTACAGCGCGTGAGTGCCCCAACTGAACGCAATCATGACCTCTGCTACACGGCACGCTTAATCGGGTTTAATAACATCCGTAGTTATGAAATTGGCCAATCATAGCTTTTCGTCGGGAGAATGGAATGATTGTGATTGGCCAGTTTTCATAACTACGGATGTTATTAAACTCGATTAAGGGTGCCGTGTAAATGTAGTCATAGTTTATCTAAAAATTTAAAACGATTTTTACATTGGACAAGTAGCTGTTGTTATAACTATCGATTATAATGACAGACCCCTGGATCTATAGATGTTTCAATCCTTCGATCTTTCATGGATTTATGGTTATAGATATAATATCACTTAATATTTACCTCTGGCATGCGCGATTATATAAACGAACGTTTTATAAGAACTTTACAAGCATTTTAAAATCATAAATTACTTATAAATGTAGGCTATTAAAAGGTGAAAAAGTTAAACAGAAATTTAATGTAACAGATTAATCGAATCCTCGTAGATTTTGGTAAAGTTCCTAGAGTTATATTCATTTGTGGAAACTGAAATACTACATGTGTGATTAATTCATTAGCGTTCAAAATCTCTTCTTCATCTAAAATTTTATAGTGATTAATATACATATAATTTGATCCAAAAGATATTATCCAAAAGATGATATAATAAAAACAAAAGAAAAAGATTGTAAAATTAGGAGTGTTTATTAATACAAATACTATTGGGCGTTAAGGGATTGGTCTTATGATTTATATAAGATCTATAAAAAAAAGTCCGGAGACTATAAAATATCTTGGAAATAATTGACTATGGTAGTATCTCCATATATGTATCTAGATACACGTATAGAGATACATTTTGTGTATCTACCTGTGCATCTGAAATACAATTAAATTTGCGTATTTGTATTAATTTGTAGTTATAGATACAAAAACACATCATTTAAACTGATTTTCAGATGCATTTCCTCGGCAAAGACACAATTCCATTACACGTGTGATAACGTCATTCTTGATTAAAGGGATCCTAAAACCGTTTGTATTACCGACCATCATAATTTTCGTATAACAATTACTTTTTTCCTCTTTTACAGATTCGAAAATCTTTTTCCGGGATTAAAGTATACACATTAATACGTGTCTGTGAGGTGGAGTTTATACCAAGAACGACAAAAAATTCCGAAATTGAAATCTTAAGAAAAATTATTTGTCGTTTGCTTTAATCATGGAAAAAGATTTTCGAATTTATAAAAGAGGAAAAAGTAATTGTTATACAAAAATTACGATTTAGTCAGTAATACAGACGGCTTTAGGGGTGGCAACCCAGTTGAACACGAGCCACTCGACACAGCGCTTGAGACTACAGAGCTCCTAAGGTTTGTTCGCGTCGCATGCTCCAACATACTCCTACCATAGCTCCTACTCACTCTATCAAGCGCGTTGGAGTGAGTAGGAGCTATGGTAGGAGCATATTGGAACATATTGGAGCATGCGACGCGAACAAACCCCTAGGCACTGGTCGCTGTGATTGGTGGTGTCCAATCGAGCCGTGATCAATCGGGATCACCCCCGGCTTTAGGATCCTCTTAAGGTGCCTTTTCATGCAGCGAAAAAATCGCTGCGATTGATGGTTACGTGATCATTCGCTAGCCAGTAATCGCTATTCGCCGAAATTTTCCAGCTTTTAGCGAATGTCGTGGAATATCAAATGTTGTACTATATACTATGTAAAGATATGTTATAAAATATATTATAAGATATATAAATGATTATAGATATATAAATGGATTTTCGTGCATTTATTTGATGAATAATATACTTGTGTATAAATAAATGAACACTGCATTTGTTGATTATGGGTCTGTTTTCTGTGGCTGAACTAGTGTATATGTACACTTTTGGAACTTCAAGTGAGAAAGATATACGTTTGATATTTGTTTAAAGCGAGAAAGAGAGTTCTAGAACAGTCTAGTGCAGGAACAGAAAGCAGACCATATATAACATAATCCAGTTCATAACTGAATGATCCTCCATCTAAAAAGATTAAAAAAAATTTTATAGATATAATTAATAATTTACTATATATTTATTAAATACACAGCATTTAAAAACACTTCAAAGCATATAACCAAGTATAAATATACGTACTTTAGATAGATATTGCGAAACAATTTTCCTTATTTCCCAATATCTTTTGGATAAGATTGCATCCTTCAAACAGTGTGTAACCATCAATAACCACGCAAATGCGACGAAATGCGACGCTCACAAACTATTCACGGTGAATTATTCGCTATTCACTAAAAATCATTCGTAGCGAAAAATTCACTGCGTGAAAAGGCACCTTTATGCCCATTTCTACCAATATAGATTAATTTTAATCTCGGTTCAACTTACTCTTCGTCTTTTTCTAATCTTTAGAACTAGAAAAAGACAAAGATTCAGTTGAACCGAGATTAAAGTTGATCTGCGTTGGTGGAAACGGACCTTAGACTTCTAGTCTTGTCGTTAATCGTGCATGAACTGTATGAATAAATGTAGAAAAGTAATCACTTCTCATTGTGAGTAAAATAGTTCTTTACCATTCTTTACCATTTTGCAATTCTTTTCGTTTCTTATTTTTTAATTATGAGCAGAATGCCTAAGATCAACGCATAAGATAACTTCAAGATATCTGTAAGAGTTCCTTAAGAAACATTTTTAAGATATTTCATAAAGAACTTTCAGATATATCTTAAAGTTGTATTATGCGTCGATTTTACCTTATTTAGTAATCTCTGTCCACGAACATTGGTGAGAGAATTATCAAACTGTATAATAAATAAAAATTTGATATTTTACTTCTTATTTAAAAAATTTAACTAACCTGACGTCATATAACTGTAGGAAGAAAGTAGGAAGCTAAAGGCCATGGCACATAAAAAAATTTAACAGCCCTTCTACAATAAGCCACAAGTCAGAACGTCAGAAGTCTTAACCAGTCTTAACCAAGTCATTCAAGTTGGTCATTGGCCAACTTCACCGATTATGACTTAGGGCCTGCGCACAATAGAGGAACAAGAATTAGATATTAAGATTTCAACCTATCAGAAATCGTGTATTCCGATGTAATCAGTTTCTGATATGTTGAAATCTTAATATCTAATTCCTGTTCCTCTATTGTGCGCAGGCCCTTAAGATCGCTTAGAACTTCTGATTTGCGGTTTATTGTAGAAGGCCTAAAAAACGTACCTGCCGATCCTGCCGTGGTCGTGACTGGTTGCCGACCAGTAACGACCATGACAGGTACGTAGGTATTATATTTCAGTGATTTTATTACATAAAAGTAAGTTAATCTTTTTCATTAAAATCCATTCACACACTATTCAAGTTTCAATATTTTAAATATATTATATAACTTATTATTTTAGATTTGCTACATATGGGTCATCACATACAAAATAACACAAGCTGCATAACCTAGCCATAGCATAATGGCCGCAGCACAGACTCTTGCACAACACATAATACATAAGGGAATCATCCAATCAAAATTCTTCTTTTCCATGAAATGGAAGAAAAGGAAAGATTTCGATTGGTTGATTCGCTTATGCACTATGCGTTATGCAAGAGCCAGTTCAAATCATTAAACTGATATTTAATTGAATATTGAAAATGGAAAGATATTTTTTTAAGGCAAACCTGATTCGTTCGTTGATTCATTTTAATGCATTATGAAGGTTTATTCTGACAAGAATTAAAAGTGAGTGTAAATTAAAATCGGATTAAATACAATGTATTAATTATATCATTGAGTCAATTAATTTTTATCGTAATGCTAGAATTTCCCTGGTTGCGATTTTGCAAATTGTATTAAAATCTGCAGCGATATGAACTCTCCAAAAACGACATCTATACCAAATCAATGCAGGATAATTCGGGCTTTGTATTCCATGAAAAATACGGGCTACGGCACGACCCGTGAACTTAGTATCCTTGTAACATGTTATCAAATTGTGGACATCGGCTGCGATCTGCTGCTCGTTCGTCACTTTATTCTACAAAAAGGTAAAAAATAGTAATACAATAATTATATATATATATATATATATATAGGATGTACCTGAAAATCAATATCGAAATCATTTAAAGGAGAATCTGATTGGAAGTATCCTCTGATAGTATCTTTAAGCTCCTCCGATCTCTTCATAACGTTATCATCCAAGACCAAGCAATGATTGATTGACGACACGCTGATTTTATTAAACGCGGAGGATGTGAGCTCGAGTTGTTGTAAACATAAGGATTCCTGAGATTGCGTACGTGTGATCAATGTATCGAGTGCCTCATCCAGTTCAATGTCACTAAGATCACCCGGTGCTTTCATTCGTAAACCGAGTTTATGATATTCTACAGATATGGCTGAACGTTTCTTCTTGCCATCAACTGCGAAACATTCAGATAACACTCATGATCATGTAAATGAAATACGTTTCAGAAAAATCAGAAATTCTCTGAAGTAAAAAGAACGTAATATTCTTACCTCCTGTCTTCCATTCTAAAGTCTTAAGATGACTCTTTACTACGCCACTATCCCATCCGATAGCTGATGCAACATCAATTACTGAGAATTCTATAATATTTTTATGTGAAATCCCGTTTTTCATGTCCAGCGCTATTGCCATTGCGAGCGGTGGAGACTAAAATCAAAAGTTTGTAATATTTTTTTTATTTTCATATTCTTTTTTATGACGTAATAAAATCTTTTTGCTGTTTTTTTTGTATTATACCGCTGCTCTTAGAAAAATTCTATAGAAATTAAAGAAACATAAAATATAGTATTATTAGTATTGTTAACATTATTACTGTGAAGGTCTTACTGATTGTGCGGCTTGTTTGAGGGCGTGTGGTCCTCCGTAACTTGAAACCCGCGCTTGAACGTACACGGACGGTAGCACAGTAATGAATCTTTTTGGGTGTAGCTCGAGATAGCACAATAATGTCAAAATCATTTCCTGTGTGATGTCAAGGACTCGGACGGTTTCATCAATTGGAAGAGCGACTTCGTGACCGGGACATCTTCGACCTGAATTTTTCTCATTGATCTTTATACAAGAACAAGGAATGAAAATCCTCTGAAGTAGATGTCTAATCGTATGTCTGTCTACACCATTCGCGTGTATGTGTCTGCGCAATTCCCATTTATCACTGTCTTCCTATTTACGAATAATTGATGTAATTAGTAAAGAGATCCCCAAAATAAATAATAAAGAGTTTTTCGTAGAGTAATTTCAAATTTTTAATCAAATATGATACCATGGGATTTAAGAACAAATGACAATGTGCTGTAATATTATCCCTTCCGGCACGACCAACTTCTTGTACATATCCCTCAAAGGTGCCGGGCATATTGTAATGAATAATGGCCCGGATGTCCGATTTATTGATGCCCATCCCGAATGCAATAGTGGCAACCACAATTTTAATTTTCCCATCCATAAATTTTTTTTGGACAATTTTGCGTCTATTAGGTGTTATACCGGCATGATAAGCTTCAGCTATTGTGGATACCTTCGTGTTTGGCTTCTCAGGATTTCGCGGATCCTATCGGTGGATGTATACATTTAATATAAATCTGTCTTATTTAAAAGACTTTGTACTTAAATTTCTCTTATATATGAGTGATGAAAAAAGTTAATTTCTTATCTTATGTAAAAAGACTTATGTTTCTTGTTGTTTCGTTTATAGAAAACTAAAAATTTTAGTATTTACCTGCAGCGATATTCTTAACAATCCCGCGATTCTCTCACACTCCTCCCTACGGATGCAGTATACTATCATAGAGTAGCATTCGCGGATCCTCTCGCTTCTTAATAATGCGATTAAAGCCTGGTCCTTGTTTTTGTCCTTGGATACCGTTAGAACGAGATTCTTAGGCAAAGGCACGTCCGAAATGACACCAGCTATTCCGTCGTGTATGTCTAGATGTTTTATTATACTTTCCACTGTCGTTTTCGTAGCAGTCGCCGTGAGTCCTAATACTGTTTTCACTTTCAACTTTTCCTTGAGTACTCGGCAAACCATCAAATAGGAAGGTCTGAAATTGTGCGACCACTGAGAGATACAATGGGCTTCATCGATGCAGGCAAATGCGATTGGTGGTAGCTGCCTGAGCAGAGCTCCGAAACCAGTAGATTTCTCGCTGCTTACCACCGCTTCCGGTGACATCAGCAGAATATTCACTCTTCCATCCTTCACAGATTGTATTACCTGTTCTCTTATTTTCACCGTCTGATTGGTATGTAAACACGCAGCAGACAGAAATAACGGTACGCCTGTCACTTGGTCGTCCATCAGGGATACCAAAGGTGAAATTACCAGAGTGATACAAACAGAACGTCGAGCATATAAATATGCTGGTAATTGATAACATAGAGATTTCCCAGAGCCTGTCGACAGCGTTACCAGGGTAGATTGACCAGATAGAATTCTCATTATTGCCTTTTCTTGGCCAGCTCTAAAACTTTCATGACCAAACATGCGTAATGCCTCGAAAACTTCAGTGGGAGTTTCAATGAGACTGTTATCTTCATTCACATCATATAACGGATCAATTTCTTTCATTTGAAGCGGCAATAATCTGGATATCAATTCCTGTGGCACTTTATGTTCGAAAGTTAATGTATCACTCTTTTCATCAAAGTCTGCAAAGTCGTCATTAAATAATTCCGTTATATCTTCTTCGTCTTGGCAAGTCTTCGTAGCAAGATACGATGATCGTTTGGGAAGTCGCTTATGACTGTGAGCGATCATGGCAGTCTCATTTGCCATTTTTTCAGCTTCCTCTAAAGTTGGAAGGTTCGACGAGTCATCGATTTCTTCTAAAGGTAAAAGAGCGTTGCCCTTGGAAGCTAAGCAGTTTTTAACGAAGTGCCCAGACTCACCACATTTGAAGCATGTCATGCTATTTTTGTCGATCAAGTCGGCCGCGTCCAAATTGCTCTCACTAGACGTCAAATCTTTCTTCCTCTGTTTCCATTGATTTTTCTTATATTTAGCAAAATTAAAGTTCTTTTTATTTCGCACAAATACTTTTTTCTTCAGATTTATCCTCACAAAATTATCATTCATTGTCCCGGCAGCTATTTTTTTCTTCAGCTTTTCCTTCGCAGTCAATTTTGTGCTCGCTGTTGAAGATATCGAGACATCTTTTTTCGTTGCATCAGTGGAAACAGTTTCGGAAAACTGCATAATAAGATTGCCAATTCCATTTAGTTTGATGTCAGAGCGAGGAATCGTTTGTAACATTTCTACATTATACATCGGAACCTTTTTCATTTCTAAATCTAAATTTTGTTCTTCGTTATCCGTCTTTAAACTTGATTCTCTTCTGGAAGATTTCCTTTTTACATTGAATTTTTTTTTATTATCGGTCATCTTCTCTTTACTTCGTTGAGATTCCTTATTCGTCTTTATTCTTGTCTTAGGTTCTTTATTATTTTGTTCTATATAACTGGGGTCGAAATTGTTAGATATTTGTTTGACTCTTGCACGTTTCACAGGTTTTTCGTCAAACGTTGAAAAGCCTTTCTGATTCTCAAGATTGGTTGATTTTGAAATAACATCAATCACTCTGAATACTTTGTTAGTTTGATCGTTTTCGGTCGGGCAGATATTCTTAGATGTCATTTTGTCCTTAATGATAACATTTGATTCAATGTTTGAACCTAAAGTAATTGCATCTTTTTTAATTCCAATTAATTCATTTATTATATTTGTGCTTGTACTAATATTATTAGTCAAGTTAAATGCATTAGCATTGTCAATTTCATTTTTACTATGCTCTCTACACAATAAATTAAAACTCCTATCGACATAGGAGGTCAACTTGGACGTATCGCTATCGGTTATATGACATCTAGCGATCGTAGAATCGGAATCAATATGAATACGTCGTCGTTTTATAGGACAATCATCTTGATCGCTCA